AAAACCTTCAACAGTCTCCTTACCCGGCAAGGTCGACTCTGCTCCCGACCTCAGCAGCCTACTGATTGAGACCTGTGATTCTTCAACTCTTGTCCAATCTAACTAGTCACTTTTCAACACTGTCCTTCAGATGTCTTGGTTGGATCTGATGCTGCTGAATGTGCCTCCTGCTTTGAAACTCTCTCCCCTGGTCCCTCCCCTTTGCAAGCCTGTTTTCTGGCTCTCCCCCACCATTCCTGTCTGCTCCCCATTCTTCACATTCCCTAAATCATAACACTACTTACACAACCCTCACAGTCTAGTCAGACCACCTTCCTGAGCTCAGCAGATCAACAGACATTTCCACCTGGATGTTGCAACTTCTACCTGAAATTGCTCATAATGGAATTTATCTTTCCTTCAAAATCTCTGCCTTCTCCTAGTTTGCCCAGCCTGCTTAAAGATGCCATTATCCATCATTAAAGGAAAAAACCCAGTCATCACTTTAAGATTTTCTCTCTCTCTTACTTCCTAAGGGGCTACCAATGCCTATTCTAAATGGAAATCCTGCCAACTTAACTTAAAAGTATGGCTAGTGCAACTGAAACAATTCTGCTACCTCACCCTGACTGCTACTATCTGTTACCACAAATCACTTCTCAACTGGACTATTCCAATACTCTCCCATCTTCTAATCACCCTTTAAGAAAGCAGCCAGAGTATGTAAGTATGTTACTCCCAAACCTAACATCACCCTTTGCCCCAAGCAGGTTGTTTGCTCTTGTCATCACTATTCCTCAGTTCCCCCAAATAGACAGAGAGTTCCCTGGGGTCAGGGCTCTTCTTGTCTTTGAAATTCATGTTAAAAATAAAGTGAGTACTGTCTAGCTTCTGCTGGAATTCTTGATAGTTTAGGCTCATGATCTTTTGGGATTTATATGAACCAAAAAAGCCACAAATATTTGATTTCTACATAAATACTCTTTAATGGCACAGAAAAATCACTTCTATACAAAACCTTATTACATGGAAGAGTATGGCACAATTTACAGAATGGATATCTACACTACTTACTATGTCTGACTATACAGAGAGAAACTCCTTGGTACCAAAGTTATCAAAATAAAAATAAAAAAGAAAACTTTCATGCATGCTCCATTTGCAAATACCTCTACAGACAAAAGAAATAAGATGTTCTATTTTCAGAATAAGGGGAGATATGTTTTCCTATGCTTATCACTGTTCCTGTATTCAAATGCAGTGAGGTTTTAGAAATGTCTTAATGACATTAAAGTGTTTATGTGTGTGTGTGTGTGTGTATGTAGAGTAAAATGATCTTCAACTTTTCATTCTAGAACAGTACTGTCCAAGAAGACTTTTGGCAACAATGGAAATGTTCTAGATCTGCACTGTTCATAACAGTAGCCATTAGCCACCAGTCACTAAAGTGTGGCTAGTGAAACTAAAGAACTGAATTATTTCAATTAATTGTAATTTAAGTAGTCTTATGTCACATATGGTTATTGAATTGGATGACAAAATTCTACAGCATAACATTACCTTGTGAAACTGATGCATAAGCACCTTAGCTTAAAAATGTTAATTCACAAAGTTCTGCCTAACACTTCTGCTTACTAATTACAAAATCTCCCAAAGTTAGTAATTTGTTTGTAAAAACAGAGCTACCTTTTGCCAAACATTGTGAAGCAGGGGTCCCCAACCTATGGTGAGCTGTATAATTGTTTCATTTTATATTACAATGTAATAATAGAAATAAAGTGCACAATAAATATAATACTCTCGAATCATCCTGAAACTACCCTCCCCTACTCACCCGGTCCATGAAAATATTGTCTGCCATGAAAACAGTCCCCGGTGCCAAACATGCTGGGGACCACTGTGGTAAAGTTATTAAGATACAGATACAGTTCAATACATCTTACTGGAAGGATATCGTCTTTGTTTGACTGCTAAACAAAGAATTATGAATGGAAATTCTTTATGGTGTTTTCTAAACCCTGCCAGTATACAATGCTCTTTAAATCTTCTTAAAATCAAAAAATGAGAAGGGAAAAGGGAATTTGCTTCAGCAGAGCAGCAGTTAATTTCTGTAAAACGTTCAAGGTAAGCTTGAGGTAAGCTCAAACCTAAGACAATCTTACCCTTGCAATGAAAAATTAAAAAGAAAACTTTTTGATCAACTTTAAAAAACCTTTTAGGGTTATAGATGAAAGTCAAATGTCTAACTATAATCTTTATTAATTTATACTTATTTAGAATATATTATATAAGGCAATATATTAATTCATGAAACAATTTTACTCTCACCATTCATATCTTAAACATCAGTGTCTATGATCAATGAAGCCACTATGAATCATCAAATTCTATCTTCCAAATGACTTTATATTCACATCTACTGAATCAGCTATAATAAAGCACTTTTTGAGCATATACATATTCTTGCTAAAAATCTCAACCCAAGCCATCAATACCCATTCAGGTGGTGAGAACTTCTTTTCATTAGTCACTTACTGTATTTTTTTGGGGTGGGGGGAGATCTGTAAAAGTTCTGTTTCCAATAGCATGTAACATATGTACTTTGGGAGATATCTCCCCACCCCGTGAATAATTACTGAATCTTTCTTGTTTTTTTGTTTAACTGATTTGGTAAGATTGATTAAATAAATATCCCAAACTGGCATTGGATAAGGTTATTTTGGCCCATTATGTCCTTCCCAAATAGCACCTCTTTGTTCAAAACAGAGCAGTTGAGAGTGCCCCGAGACAGGAGAGCCCTGGATGTGAGGCAACACCTTCCTTTCAGAGGGAGACTTTTGGGGGAAACATTGCCATGTGATCAGGCATATACCGTATACACTTAAAGACAATTTTTAAGAGGGAAGGCTGCTTGGAATGATCGAAGGGTTTCCTCATGCCTTCTGTAAGTATTCTCTAAGCTTCCAGATTTGGGTTAAAATGCCTAATTCTGCTAAGCTGTCATTTTCCTTTGGAAACACAGGCAGACATGAAGCTGCCAAGACAAGTAGATGGACATTCCCTACTTTCAACCCAATACCACACGACGGCAGGCACAATCTTTCCAAAAATCTAATCTGATGTCATATGTGCTAAGCATAAAAACTTTATACTGCCTCCACCAGTGTGGAGGATTAAAAAAAATTCAATCTCTATTGTGTCATTTCCAGGTTAGTCTGATCTGCCTTTGTTTACCTAACTGGACCAATCCTTGGTTTTCCTCACTCTACTGGTGGGTTCCACCCCAACTTTTCACCTGAGGGGCTTTGGTCAAGGCCCCCCCCATTAGATGGAGACACCCCCACACTGGCACTCCAGACTGGTTTGGCTAAGTCTCACCCATGCCTCACAGGTCAGCTTAGTCACCTCTTCCTCCCCAGAGTCCATGCCCAAAGTGCTATTTGAGAAGGACATAATGGACTGAAATAGCCTTATCCAATGCTAGTTTGGGATATTTATTTAATCAATTTTATCAATATTCTTCCCTTTCCCTTGATCACAGTTCCCTCTACCCACTAGACTCAGAAACAAACCTCGATCACAGTCCTCATCCTATTATGGTCTGTTTCCTACACTACCAATACCTGACACTTATCACGTGTATATACACTGCTGTAGGACGCTATCTTAAGTGCTTTACATAGATCATCTTCTTTTAAGCTCACAAATCTGTAACAGTCTGTAACAGATGGGAAAACTGAGGCTCAAAGATGTCAGATAACCTGCCCCAAGTTATATAATGCCAGGAATGGAACTCAGGCCATCCGGCTGAAGGGTCTGAACACTTACCCTTTGTAGTACCTTGCTGCTCAAAGGATTCTACATTTGACCAGGGCCTTCCTGGGGGGGCAGGATAGTGAATGCTTGCCAGATGCTTTCAGAGAGGATGATTGGAATAGTTACTACCTGAGAAACCTTTGGTTACATGGAAAGGAGGTTGGAAATTTGACTTTTAGTACTGTCCACTGATTTAACAGATGATCTCTAGGGCCCCCTTCCAGCTAAAACAAATCAGCCAAAACAAAACCCCCCGTTTCCCCAGAGATGTCCTTCATAGGTGCTAACATACTATTTACAAAAACTAAAACGAGTTACTGAGCAGTTGAGGGAGGACTTTAGCTAGTTTCACAGCAATAGAAGCACATACAAACTTCACAGGAACAACAAAACTATTCCAATCTAATTCACTGTTTTACAATAAGAATCCTATTGTATTTTGTTGTCATACACTAATCTAATTCATTGTTGATGACAAAGAAAAACACTCAAGGCAAGAACACCTTTTGGTTTTCTAGAGTTTTCTAATTTAACACTGATTTTTAAGACAGGAAAAATTTACGACTCATAAAGAAAATCAAAGTTTGAATATATTACATTTAACACAAAAAACATAGGCCTACAAGGAACCCAGGAGGTATTTTGCTAAAAAGGAAATTATAATAGCTACTATGTACAGAGTGTGCCTTTTACATGTTTGGTATTTTCATATACACCATTCTTTTTCTGGGTACCTTTAAAAAGGTCCGCTCTTAAGCTACCAGTCATCATCCCATTTTACAGCTGAGGAAACTAAGGGTCAAAGAGGTTACACAGATAGCTACTTGGTTTCAATGCCAGGACTACTGGTCACCAAGCTCTATTCTGCAGTTAAGCTCCTCTTAGTTTAAAAGATGTAGCCAGATGCATTTTACGTGTTAAGCACAAACTTCCCTTCCTACTCTCACTTTCTAAGTAGGGCTGTGACCAAGACTGGGCGACCGCCTCCGTGTCCTCCCCAGGCCCCAACTCAGGTGTGTTAACACCTGTACACCTCAGTGATACACTTGTACCACCTAACAGGAGGCACACTCCGCCCTGTCTGCTCTTCCCATCACAGCACCAAACTGCTTGTTAGCGGGAGTCGCCATTCCGAGATTTCCGTCCACAAGGTCAGAGTTTAGGTACAGTGATTCAGGACAGACGTCGCACGGGATGGGCATTACCTTTCGGTCCCAGGACCACACAGACTGCGGGATCCACCTAATAACGACTTTCACAACTGGTGGGAGAACTGCATGCGGCGTTCCCGTGCTCCACTTCCGCCCCGGCTAAATGACACCGCGCTCCCTGCCCCTCCGCACCGGACGCACCGCGCGAGCCCGGAGTCCCGAGCAGGGGTGTGAGCCGCGCTCCCCCGGCGCCTCCGCCCGCTGCTGTCACGGCCCCGCAGGTCGGCCCCCGGCCCCGCGTCCCACGCGGAGGTCGCGTCCACACCCACCCACGCACGGTCCCCACGTGCGAAGTTTAATCCCGAGTTCACCCCGAAGACGCTCCCCTTCCCTCAAATGAAAGGGGACCGCGAGGGCCCCTCCCCGGCCCCGGCCGAGCGGCGGGGCTCACCCGCAGCAGGACCCACCGCGGCAGGACCGCGAGCCCTCCAGGTGCGGCCGCCGCCCGCAGGCCACGCCGCCGGGGCCGCCGCCCGCGCCGAGCACTCCAGACTGGTTTGGCTAAGTCTCACCCATGCCTCACAGGTCAGCTTAGTCACCTCTTCCTCCCCAGAGTCCATGCCCAAAGTGCTATTTGGCCCCGCCCCGGCGCCCCACCCCCACCGCGCGCGGAGCCGCCGCCGCCCGGCCTCCGGGCCCGCCCGCCCCGCGCCGCCGGCCCCGCGCCGCACTCACTGAACATCCCAGGCGGCTCCGGTCCCCCGCCGCCCCCCGCCCCGCTCGCTTCCGCGCTGCCGTCGCTGCCGGAGGCCTCGCTCCCACGGCCGCTCAGCCGGCCCCGAGCCCCGCGCCCCGCGCCCCGCGGCGGCTCTGGGCGGGCCCATGACTGACTGACACCGAACGGACCGCGGGCTGCGCGCTCCGGCCTCCGCGCGCAAACCGTCTCGGCCAATGGCGAGCGCTCGGCGCCTGGCTGGCGATGCCTGGCGTGCGCGCGCCCCGCCCCGCTGCGCCGCCGGGCGTCGGGCGAAGGGCGCGGGGCGGACACACGCGCGGGGCGCGGAGCCGGCCGGCGCCCGCTGTCATCCGTCCCCCCGCTGCCCGCACTGGAGCTGGGACCCAGAGGCGAGCCCGACCCGCGGTGGGCCCGAGGTGAACCCCCGACGCGGCGGGCCCCGGGTGAGAGCTCCGCACCTGGGGCTGTTCCCGAGTGACGACTTCCCACCTGCAGTGGCTCGAAGGTGAGACCCCCGACTCGGGCCGGGTCCCGAGGTGAGCCCCGCACCTGGAGCTGTGCCCCGAGGTGAGCCCCCCACCCGGCCCGGGAGGCCACCCGGTGGGCCCAGGAGGTAAGAGCCCCCACCCCGCGCAGAGTCCACGCGGGCCGAGTGAACCCCCACCCGCGGTGGGCGCCCTAGGTGAGACCCCCACCGCGGTGGCCCGAGGTGAGCCCCCCACCGCGAGTGGGCCCGAGGTGAGCCCCCACCCCGCGGTGGCCCGAGGTGAGGCCCACACCCGAAGTGAGCCACCGCGGTGGGCCCCGAGGTGAGCCCCCCACCGCGGTGGCCCGAGGTGAGCCCCCCACCGCGTGGCCCGAGTGAGGCCCCACCCGCGGTTGGGCCCCGAGGTGGCCCCCACCCCGCGGTGGGCCCCGAGGTGTAGCCCCCGCCCACCCGCGTGTGGCCCCGAGTGAGCCCCCCACCCGCGGTTGGGCCCGAGGTGAGCCCCACCCGCGGTGGCCCCGAGGTGAGGCCCCCACCCGATGGCCCGAGGAGACCCCCGATCCGCGGTGGGCCGGAGGTGGACCTCCACCCGCCGAGGCCCACATGAGCCCCCGAACCCGGCCCAGTTCCCCTGCTGCAGCAGGCTCTGGAGAGAGAGCGATCTGGCGCGCGGTCGGGGTCGGCCGCCAACCTGGCTCCTGCCTGCTCTCCGCTGATTGCCGTTACTTTGTGTCTCTGTCTGCTGGGACGCGCTCACAGGCTGCGGAGCAGAGCTCCTCGGTAAGCTGGGAGAGTATCTCCTGCGTCTTTGTAGCGAGTTCAGCAACACTTGTTATCACTGTGTAGCCATCGCGATGCTGGTGGTCGATTTGAAACTTCTAAGTTAAGTAGGCTTTATCACACTGGTATTGGACATTTATGACAAAATAGAACAACTGATAGCACTGCGACTGTTCCTGTTCTCCTGTAATAGAGTGGAAGGACTACTTCACCCAGTGTTCACTCTTGGGTTTATCCTTACTGAGAAGTAAATTCTGAGATGGGGCTTTAGTATTAGAAAAAATTGCAGGTGATCCCAGCCCCCAGTTTATTAATAGTAGTCTCTGTTTTGACAGAACACGTTATAGATTAGAATCGAGTGGGATTGCAATCTTTTAATGTTCAGCATTTCTACATTTGTTTTTATGTTGCGAATAATCTTATCTTTTGTATTATAGCTACTCATAGAAAATTTTCTCTCTTGAGGAATTGACTTGTGTTACCTTCTTTATAACGAAAGTGACTTTAACTTTATGTCTCCCGCGGTATTGATTGCGTTTAATGGTATGTAGAGTCTTGTTCTGTAAGTCTTTGGAAGATATGTTTGTGAATGGATAAATTAATGAAACACATAATGGGTTCTAGTAGAAGTACTGTTGCAGTCTGAAGTAACATTATTGTTTTGGAGTCTTACGTTTTAATTACTCCACTCATATCTTTTCGTCACTTGGAGAAATATTTACCTTCTCCAAATATTGCTCCTATTCTGTACTCTTTGGACACTACTTCCAATAGAGCTGGTTCTGATACACGTCACCCAAACCAATTGGTACCTATTTTTAGATAAGTATTAGCTTAGGCAAATATTTCACTCTTTCAATCTAAAACCAATCATGCACTACCACTGTTACATGCAGTAATCTTGAAATTGATTGTTGCCTTGTTGAATTCCTGCACAGTCACCTTCATGGGTGTAATATTTGATCACAGCAAGATACTCTATAATCCATCTTCGTGTGTGTAAAAATTCCATTTATGCTTTTACTTTTGTCTGAAACAATATGTATTGTTTAGACAATAAGAAGTCATTACACTGTTATTTTCTGTTGCCTATTTCAGTTTGCCCTTACTATAATTTTTTTTCATTGTTTTCATTGTAGATAAATCTCGTACAAATGGCTGGCTGTTTATTCTGGCATTTCCGTTAGAAGCTTAAGAGCAAGACAACTTCCTGGGATAGTAAACTAAAACTAGCCTCACTTTGCATGATTTCCACCAGTGCTTTCTTCCAAATAAAGAACAAGGTAAGTTTGAATGGAAACACTATATATTTTTTACAGTCTAGTGAAAAAAATAATCATCACCTTGTTATAAATTGCATACTTGACATTTAGTCAAAACAAGATTTACTGAATGAAGATGGGGATTTGGCTGGGCACAATGGTCACACCGTATAATCCTGGCACTACTGGGAGGCCAAGCGCAGGAAATCACTTGACGGTCAGGAAGTTTTGAGACCACAGCCTCAGAACCAGAGGGGGGAATCTCATCTGCTGACTAACCAAATACGAAACGAAATTAGCTGGGCAAACTACAAATTAGAAAATAATTAGGCTGCGTGTCGGTGGCACATGCCCTCGAGTCCACAGCTACTCAGGAGGCCGTGAGGCAGTGAGGATCGTAGCCCCAAGAGTGTGAAGTTGCTGTGAGCTAAAGCTATGCCATCGGCACTCTAGCCCAGGCAACAAACGTAGGACTCTGTCTCAAAAAAGACAAAAAATTCAATCTAAAAAAAAAAAAGATTTGGGGGGAAACCTCTTGAAGTTAAACCAGCTGAGAAGAAGTAACTTGGTCATCAATTCTACTTAATAACGAAGGTTTTTTTTTTTTTTGCTGATACAAAATCGCATTTCTTCTTGTTGGAATACATCTATATCATACATAAATACTAATGCATTAGTGAGCACCCTGGAAATTAAGTCTAACAATAGGTCGAAACGTGTTGGTAGCTCTGTCGTGTTTACAAATCCAAAGTGACATCTCGCAGGTAATTGCTGGTGCGTGCTGTCTCTTCAAAATATTCAGAATTTGATAAATTGAAGGTTGTGAACGTAGATAACGTGTTAGCCGTATTTATATAAAGCATTTCTAGAAATAGGGTCTAGGTACCAATGGCAAAGACAATGCTCTTTGTAATAACCGTATTTCTCAAGCCTTCTATTGCTGGCTAAAAAATAGCTGTAACTATGATAAAATGCCACCGGAATGACAACGTCATGAAATGACATTCTACTAAACCAGTGCTGTCGGCTCATTAAGGCACACGTCACAACACAAAATGTGTCAAAGAGGATTGCACAAGGTTTAAATGGATGATAAGTACGGTATGTAGACAAGGTATCATGTATCTAGTAGTTCTACATGTGACTGTACACAAGACATCATCTTGGCAAGGTTGGATGGTGCACTTGGGCAAGTGTGGCACACCGGTGAAACAAAGGGGGCCCTGCACCCCGGCAATCGTCTTGACGTGTTTCCGCCTGTCCTCTTTCCTGAGAGGTTTTTTTCCATAGACATCTGTCCACCCCTATTCCATACTGTTATTGACAGCTCTGTATTGTGAGCTGCCCGGTCCCCTTTCACCGCCTCCTCAAATGTATTTCGTGAGAATGAGAAAACATGACAGCCAATAACGCAACTCAATTATGTTGTACAAATCTGCATTTTATAAAGCACTTGTGCATTTATCTTCAATGATTTCTCCAGATAAGATATACACCGGCCGGCGCGAGTGGCTCCACGCCTGTCAATCCTGCACTCCTGGAGACGGCGAGGCGGGCGCGGATTGCTTCGCGAGGCAGGAGTTCCGTAAGCACCGCCTGAGCACGAGCGAGACCGCGTCTCTACCTAATAAATAGGAAAATTAATTCGCGCCAACTTTTTCGCCCGTGAATCACACCCTATAGAAAGAATAGCCGCCCCGCCGATGGTGGTTCACGCTGTAGTCCTGAGCTACTCGTGAGGCTGAGGCAGGAAGATTGCTTGAGCCCAGGAGTTTGAGCGTTGCTGTGCAGCTTAGGCTTTGAGCACCCATGCACTCTAGCCAGGAAAAACAGAGTGAGGACTCTGTCTCAAAAAAAAGGATACGCAGTCTGTAGATGTTAAGCTGCATGGTGAAATTTGGGAAGCCAGATACAGCAAGCTATC